CTTTCGATACTAATATATGCATATATATATATATGGGGGGGTGATCAAGGGGATTCCACCCCGAAGCCAAGATGCCGCCAGGGTGGTCATCACGGGCCCCGTCACGGTCTGCACCGGCTGGGGGGCCGCATAGGTTGGTGCTGCGTAGGTCACAGGCATGGTGCCCGGCGCCATGTAGGTGGGGAACATGGTCGGGGCTCCGTAGGTGGTGGGCGGCGCCGAGTAGACCGGAGCAGTCTGCATGGTGGGGGCCTCGGCTTCGAAGAAGAGGTGCGGTTTTCTCGTTTTTCGGATCAAAAAGGGATCCCTGGGACGGTGATAGAAACCATGTCCGAGACATTCTATCTCTGACGGATCTACGAACGTCTATCAGATACACGGATCGGCAGTCCGGATGGTGCCGTCCAAGGAGCCGCCGCACCTGCGCTTTTGTGCGGTCTGAGGGAACCGATGGACGAGTGCTGTTTGAATTCAGGCATGCTGAGTGGCTCTATAGGCAAACCATGGACCCAAAATGATTTCATACATTGGATGTAGAATGGCTCATATACCATAAGTAGTAGGACGAACGACGGCTGCTTGTGATGCTCTTGCTCTCCGCTTGGCGAGAGGACTCCGAGACACACACTCTCGGCTCCTTCGCTCGGCTCAGACAACCTGGATCTGCGCAGGAAGGGCATGGCGCATAGGATCTGATTGAACAAGTGGGCTTGGGCTCCTGCAATCACCCTCCGAAAAGCCTATGGTGCATTTTCACTGTCCTTGGTCAACCATGTTCTTGTTGGTCTTCACTCCATTCCACCTCATGCCACCTCATGCCAGCCGTGACGACCACTCCACTCCGCCCACCGTCTTGTCTCGACGGTCCCGCGAAACGACACCTGGGCCCATGGCAGCCATAAACCTTGGTCGCCCGACGGCTGCCCGGTTCGGCCCTCGGCCCTCGGCTCCCGTCGTGGGGATCAACGGCCTTCGGCCCCCTCGGCCGGGTTGGTGGAGGGACGACGGGCCGAACGGGACTGCCTAGGGCGTCCGGCTTGGCTGGGGGGATGCAGGTGATGTTTGGGGTAAACCAAGTGCGGGTGGATTCAAGTGACTGCATCAGCCACCTTGGGTGAGATCATGTTGCCTTGTCTTGGGTTGGCTGGCTCGGTTGCCTTGTGTGGATTTGGCTGGGTGGCTTGGCTGGCAGGATGGAGGTGACCCCCCCAGTCTCGAAAATTCGGATGGGTTGGGGGCTTGGCCTCAGAGGTGCGGCTGGGATAGAGAAAAAGACCAATGACCAATTACCATAGACCCACAGAAATGTTACACATGGACTCATGGACATGCAGACTGACATGTAGACTGACATGCAGAGATGTGGACAGACAAAGAAAGAGACCGAGCTGTGAGCTGTTTCCCTGTGAGCTCTTCCACAGATCTGAGGAACTCCGCAGAAAACGACACAATCCTGAGCTTCCCCAACTCATCCCGGGAGATTTGGCCGTCTTGATTGCGGTCCTCACCAGTCCGTCCGTCCGCTCGGGACACCGGTCCGACGTCTCAAGACGTCCGTCGCGGCGATGAAGCAGGGATGAAGCACAGAAAGGAGCGATATGTGATTTGAATCAATCAACTTCTTCGGCAGGATGTACTTACTTTCTAAAATTGGTGTAAGATAAACAGCATAAAAGAAAAATCAGAAATCCCATTGCAGGAATGAACGGGAGAATCCATGAAAGAATCGATGGCACACGGACCCCTCATATATCCGGCGATAAAGCCTCACCCCCCAAAAAGCATCGCAACCTCCTCCTTTGTTTTCTCCATCGAAACAAAAAGAAAACTGTGTCTTGTGCTGAACTATCAAAGCACTCGAAAAGCAAACGAGGTTGAGTTCCAGGAGGTACCTGAGGCACGAAAGGGGGATCAATGTAGAAAGGGCATCAGACATCATGTAGGACCTGAGGTTAAGTACATCCAATTGGTTTCCTACCCAAAAAGGAGGTCCAATGGGTTCGAGGTGATCAGCTACACAGCCTGCAAACGTCGACATTCCAACGTAAAAAGTCGGCCGAAAAGGGAGACCAAGTGTGCAGACGAATACTCTGCTCATCGACATCCCCAAAGACCTATGAAAGACTGGTGATCAGAGTACCGACAGCTGGGGAGCTGCGGAAGTGGGTCAGTGGGTCCGTGGGTCCGTGCTCCCCAAAATGTCACTCTTCATTGAAAAGAACACACATTGGGTGAGCTTTTAAGGCGACCTGTCCACGAACTTGGACGTTTTCGTGCACAGCACGAAAACACGACCACTTTGTGACAGCATGTCTTACCATGTTCTGTCCTACTTTTTCATACCAATCAAAGCCATGGGCCATGTCAGTCTGTCTTACCATCGAAAAATCGAATCGGACAGTCCAGCCCATCGTTCCAGCACATCCTTCTGACGGTCCACCCCATCTCCAGCCAGGAGATCACCCAGCCGCCCGGTCACGACCACCACGAGAGCCCGCGCCCCCGGCCAGTTCCGGCCCCCACTGGGTCGACCCTGTTCGCGGGTTCCCGCTCCATCATGCCGAACATGAACTCCTCCCGTGAGACCACGCCATCCTGTGACGGGTGGACACCCCACCCGGTGGGTGGCCAGGCATGGAAGGACCTTCCCGGACCAAGCAGGGATGGTTCCAGATATACCTCGCCATGCATAGGTAATAGGGAGGATTCGATTCATCAACAAAATACACGCCCCAACAAATCCACAAACCCGCCTTCTTAAGGTACACATGAAGTTCGGCAAGCCGGATCCGGGATGAATCCCTTCCACCTATTAGAAAAAGAAAACAAAATGGTGGTCCCATAGGGATTTTCGAACGCTAGGGATTAAGAACCTGTGGAAAAAAACATCTGCGTTCTGCAGGGGTCCAGGGCGGCGCCCACGCCTCCACTGACCGGACGGCGACGGGTCCCGGTGTACCAAACAGAGAACTGATGTTGTCGACCTGCCCTGTTGTCACTTCTTTCCTTGTCGCTTTTGCAGAGTGATTTGACAAATGCCTTGCATGTCCATTTTTTTTGGAGTTTGGAGCTGTCCGTGGTTGGCAGCCACCAGCTTTATCTGCCTTGGTGCATGTGAAGAAGAAAAGACACGCAAAAGAAACATAAATAAGAAGAACAACGAGCCACCTGAGTTGCCCTGCAGGTCCTGTGAAACAGAACCCTCTCAACAACGGACAGCCACGTGATCGTTGCTTCACCCGCAAACGTCTTTCTCGCCTGATTGGCGTCCATCTGCTCGAAGGAAGCTGCCATAGTTTGCTGGAAAATCAATCCTCGGTTTCGTGTCGTTTGGGCAGTTCGGGTCAAAGGCATAGCGCCTTGGATTGTCGCACCGACCAAGGATCCACGGGTCCAACAAGGTATGTTTTGTTGAATGTGTTTGGGTGATGTTGCATTCATGTATTTGCCAGGGATGTTGCACTCCATGTATTCTTAACCAAGAGCAACCCAGCTCAGCTGGTTGTGTAGTTGTGTTGGGACATCGAAATCCGCTCGATCCGCTCCCAAAAGAATCGGATGCCCAACGAGGCCTCCCCTTCACATCCTTCCACTTCAGATCCCGGGTTGGACACGAAGGCCCCCCGAAACCGCCGCGCTTCGCCCCCCGAAGCGCCGCGCTTCGCTTCCCACGGCACAGTGTCAAGGACTTCCAGGCGTTCGCTGCGACCCAGAATTGAGCCCAAGAGCTGCGTGGGCGCCGTTTTCCAGCTCCGTGAGTCGTTTTCGTTATGCTTGGAAAACGGTCGGGAAAGGCTTCACCCCCCAAGTGCCGACGCGTCACTTTCGGATCCTGTCCGACCGGTGTTTGTCCCTCAGCTTGGTTGCTTCCCCGCTTCGTGGGAAAGAAAGCAAAGGAACTCCCTGCTTCTCGCACCGAAGGGCTATCGTCCGACCATCAACCCGGCGGGATTGGGCACCGAAAACACCCGGCTCCGCCAGGTCGGAAGGGAGACGAACGAAACGTCTGTCTGTCCCCCATTGCTGTCGACCAGTCTTTGACGAATTCTGCCATGGAGGGGGGAACGAAGAAGTCTTGCACCACCTGGGATGCAAGATATGGGTATGTTAATAGGGAGACGCCCAACCAATGGATGTTCATCTACAGTATTTCCCTTCTTCCAAGGGGTCGAACTGGGAGGTCTCCCTATTTCAATACACACCGATATGTTGCGGCTATGGACATGGAAATGGGTGCCTGTGTCGAAGTAGGGTTTAGGGATGTTTAGGGTCTCAGCTGTGAATCCTCAACAACTTCCCCCCAGCTGCTGGCCCCATTAGCTCGTTTCTTGGTGTTGACCACATATGGTGCGACTAGGTCAGTCAGTTTGACAATCCATCGGTGCGGTGGATTCCATGATTTCGGCGAAGCACTCACGGAATGACTCTATCTCTAGAGATATGTCAAGTGAGGTACTCTACACTGAGATATGACTATCTCTAGTACATATCTCTGTATCTCTATCTCTAGTACTATATCTATCTCAGTGTAGATATGTGCTGTACCTTCAAAAAGACATTCACCCGGCTCCCCAAAAATCGGACAGCGATCTCACGGACCAGCTCTTGAAGACGAGACGAACGGGTGGGACCCGGTCAAGGGCGAACGCTTGTGTTCCATTTGACCAAATGGGTGTACAGAGTCCAGTCTTCATGGTCCGACACGCAGAAGAGACATCGCCAGGCTGGTTGAAGGAAAAATGCCAATGAACGACTCCCCCCATATGAAGAGGTTGAATCCAACTGGCAGCGCTTATTCATCAAGCGTCTACATTAGCCGGAACCCAAGAGCTTCATGTCTCATGCAGGTATACACCTTAGAAGCCCACGTCAGGAAAGGTCTACTGTTCCAGGAACTCCACGTCCAACGCGGGATCGGCCCAGCATCCTCAAGATGGCGTCCGTCCGTCCTCCCGACCGGCGATGGGCGCTCCAATGGCACCGGGGCCCCAAGGCACGGCCTGCGAAGAAGCCGCCGATGATGCCCAGGAGTTGCGAGAAGAACGGGATGATGTTGGACCTCACGCTCCGCGGGCCCGAGCCGCTCGCGCCCGCGACCGGAAGAAAGGAAGCCCAAACAGGGGTCGGTGATCGGTCTGGCAGGTTGGGAAAATCACTGAATGGGAGGTTGACCCCAGGTTTCTGTGTTTTGCTGAAGCGAGGCGACTTCTTGCTCTACAAGTAGGGGAACGCCAAGTCGCTGTGGACCAAGTCGTTAGCTTTGCTGTAACTACGGGAACCACTGGTAAGAAGTCCTCTACCATAGGTTCCTTTGTCCGTTCGGACCCATGCGTTGAGCTCCAAACTGGGGCTGCGGGCACGAGAAAGCAGAACAGCAGCACGCCAACACCCCAACCTGGCAGGACGAGCAAGTTGTTTCTACTTGATCACGGTTCCGTAGTAGCCCTTGGCAACTTCTCAACATGAGGAAAGGCTGGATGGCCACAATGTCGATGAAAAGAACCCTGCATGACTTGAAAGAGGTCTTCTTGTGGATTGTATGACCCCTTTCATGCGCAACCATTGATAGCCGTTGGCATTACTGGAGCCTACGGTCCTATGACCACCCAAGCTTTCATGCTCCTGGGCCGTCTCAAGCGAGCGCCGCGAGTGCAGAAGCAACGGAGTGAGGATGTGGCAACGGAGTGCTTGACATTGGTTCTGACGCCATGTTCGGCTATCTTCCATGTCTATCTATCTCGGTGGGATCGAGTCTAAGCCATATCCCTGGTCAAGCTTTCACAAACACATGAGTTCTCTTGAGCAAAACCCACACGTGAGGGGGACTCCGAACTCGCCAAAGGAATAAACATAACATCTACATTGGGGTGTGTAATTGAAATAGGGCCCCCTGGCCCGATGGGTAGACGTGTCTACTTTCCTTCTTCCAGGTGGTCGCTGTTTGGGAGAGCTCCAGACATCCCGAATCCCGAAATTCCACTTCTAAAAACAGGGCCCAGCAATTCTCTTTCTGTGCTCACGATTTTTCTCAACTCGCAGCAACCCAACCTCCATGCTCCAGGTAGGAGCGGCAGCTGCGTTTCTCCACCTGTGGTGCCAACCCGACAAACAGCCGCACTCCGCCGAAACGGAAGAAACGGCACCGCTCTTGAGCAGCAAGGTGTGTCGAGGTTTGAAGGTTTTTGTAGTGGAATTTGAGTGGTCGCTTTTGATATGACGGTGTGCTTGTTGGTGTGGTTCTGTTTCATCAATAGCAGCCATGTCTCACATCAAAATATCAGGAACATGGGATTGGGGTTCGCACCCCAGCAAGACCACGAGACCACCATTCAGATTTATCTTCCAGCCAGCCCCTAGGCCACTACAGCTTTCTGTGCATGAATCCTTCACCACCTTCGACCCTGCTCTCTTCGCATGCCACTGCACGGTGCCACGCTTGCCACGTCTGCATGCCTCATCCCAAAACTTGCAAAACCCCGTGGATCGATGTTCCTCTGCGGCAATGGCCTACCCTAGGCCTTCGTGGCCTTCCTGAAGCGTCTGCTTCACCCAATTTCGCGCAGCGCCTGCCCCGGGCGGCAGCTGCCATGCGCGTAGCGAATCAAGACGACGCTCTTAATCCTGCGCGGAAAGCGGCTACAGCGCCGCGAAAGGCGCTTCCGAGGGTTGTGAAGGTCTTGGTGTCACGAGAAGGCTTGGAGTTCCCCTCAACTACTGGTGGCATGTGCCTTGGGGAAGCTTTGTGAGAGCGTCAAGAGACCTGCAAATTGGTATGATATGCGCTCAAAACTAGGAACCAACCAGGAACCAATATTAATTGGATAATTTCCTCCCATCTCATTTTGAGTCGTTGGCTGATTTCTACATTCATTTGGGGCTTGGTGGCAGTGAGGCTGTGCTTCGTGGAGCATGCCATCCAAAGAGGATCAGCGACGCTTGCGGGAAAACTACAAGCGGGGAACGTGTTTCACCCACATCGAGAGAAGGGGCAATGAGTAGCCATGAACTTGCTTTCAAAAGAAAAACTTGTATATGTATGACGTTGACCATGAACTGGTCTTGAGTTTTGCTTGCCAACGTGCTTAGAATTTCCATGGCTGGTATCCTTGGCTGATCCAAAACTTCTGCATGCACTTGGACTCCCAGCAAGTACACGATCACCACGTGCATGAAAAGGAGAACTGCCGCAACCTGCCGCGACGACGCGTCGAAGAGTGAATCACTGGTCCAGACTGTTGGGTGGTGAGCGATGGACCTGGTGAGTCGTTTGGTTCTGAAAAAGAAGACGACCATGAGTCGACCGATTCCTGGGGGGTCTATCCTACCAGTCAAACCGGAGGATGATGGTGATGATGGGCCTTCAAGTTCCAAAATGCTGGATGTTCTTGGTTTACAGGTCCTGCTAGAACGAGAAGAACGGACAGACCGTATTCCAGGGTTCGTTGTGGTTCGTTCTTTGGGGCTGCACGTGCGAAGAAGACGACCTTCAGGTGGGTCAAAAGCCCCAGATTCAGTGGTCAGTGGGTTGGTGATCCTGCAGGTGGTGGAGGGGGACTGCAGTTGGTGATGTTTGTTGTGTTCTGTGCTGTTGTATGGGGCGGAGAAGAGTTATTTGCTGCTTTTGCATGTTCTGAATTGTACGCTTGCTCGATGAATAGCTGACGATATTTGTTGCCTCAGGCCTTGTGCGCATGGTGCTACCTCTCGAACTCATGTTCAGCTCTGAGATGAGTCACCTTTAAAGTCATTTGCACAAGGATGCACAAGGACTGTTGATTGAAAAACGATGCATGTTCTCCCTCGCTGCCTCCATTGACTCTATTGCTGGGTGCTGGGTGGTGCAAAACACACACATATATACACCAAACATGTTCTCATGGCGGTCAGGAAGTCAGAAAGAATGCTTCTTTCGGCGGATCGCACTTTGACCTTCACCTTGAACCCACACGGGGGAAGTCCGTCACGTGGTCACGTGGCTGATGCTCCAAGTTGACGTCACGCTGGGCCAGGTGATTTCGGCGGTTCGTTTTCACGCTCCGCAAGGAATCCATCGTCCGAACGCTCGACTAGAAGTTTCTGGTCTCGTCTCATCGGTCGAAATGAAACTGTCCCTCATGGAGATCTCATCAATGATGTCTTTGTAACCTCAGCACGGTGAAGCAATGCATCATGTCTAAAAAAGAAGAAGAGATGAGAAGAAAGCTTGTCATGTCTAAAAATAAAGTGGACGCACAGTAGCTTTTTCTGCTCTTCTCAGCCATAAACACGGTCTAGACGACAGGGGACAACATGGCACGGCTGCACATGAAATGAGTGCCATGGCTGCGTGACATGCTCTCTTGTCATCGGCCATCCTTCAAACCAACGCTTGACACGAATGCTTTGGAAGATTGCGGATTCGGCGTCACTCTTCAATCCTCTTTGAAACCGAACCTGTCATTCTTGTCCACGAGTGCACAAAGTTGCCCTTCCTGCCGGCCATTCTTGAAGGCTTTGATCACATCTTCCGGTGCTCCCGCAGCTTTTCAATGCGTTTTGTCTTACACTCTGTGCCCATTTGCATGAACTTCAAGCCAGGATATAAACACCCAGCAGCCGCAAGAACAAGAAAAAACGGGCTGGCAGGTTGCTGTTTGACGCAAGCGGGTACAAGTAGTATGGCACAGGACAAGCCAACGCACAAGAGAGCTGCAACTCGAGCTGCTGTTTGGCCTTGAGGAGTTTCAATTATTATCCTTGTCGCCTGCACCGGTTCCCGTCTTCCGTGCTCTCGCCAGAGCTGTGCATCGTGGCCCGGTTGATGAGGTAAACCACGATGCATGACCGCTATGCTTGGGGTTCTCTGGGGCCAAAAAGTCTGCAGTGCAGGTTCTCCAAGGCCCTTTCTTGTGATAGTGTGTCATTCATGGTCTTTCTACAAGGCCAAGGCAAAAAACAAAGGAGAGGCACATTGGCATGAGACTTGATTGATGAATGAGACTTGTCTGACTTGTCTCTCAGGACTGCCAGATTGTTACATCTTTCTGCACAAAACAGCAAAATCTGTGGCTCCGGCTGAAGGTGAGCGATGGCGCAGTGGAGGCAAGGAAGGGCGGTGAGCAACAAAACAGGCCAAGGACAGCACGGAGCACGAAATGCGACCATTTCCTGAACCATACGTCGCTGGATGAAAAGAACCTCTACCCCATCCTGTTGATGCAGCAACAGGTACCAGTGACTGCGACTTCAGGTACCACACTCACCATTCGCTTTTCCTGGCCGAAACGCTCCACATCCGGAACCCACGATCCACCTCTCCACCACTCGTCTCCTCCGCCGCTTTCCCCGACGGGTCACCCACCGACGGGTCCATCTCCCGCACCTGCAAGGTGGGCCCATGGGGCATCCCTCCGACGAGGTCCATCTTCCCCGAGCCGAACCAGTAGCCCAGCAGCGCCTATAGGGCCGCCCGCCGACGGCGGAGCGGTGCCGCGGGGTTCTGCGGTTCGAATCTTGCGACCAAGGGGTGGCCGGTGGTGCAAGCGTGGGGTGGCCGGTGGGTCTGAGGAAGAGCAACATGACAGTAGTCCTCTGATAGGTGTAAGAACAAGCATAGTGAACCCAGGGGCCACTATATTGCTTGACTGTCACACCAACCTGTTGTGCTTGCAAACTCCCAACCCAACCAACCTCTAAAGACTGAGGGTGCCAGCTCGAGGCTTGGCCGGTGGACTGCTCCCAAGAAGAACAGGCAGCCTTGTCCCTGCTTAATGTTCCTGAGCTGTTTACAATGGAATCCCTGAACAAGGTCTGCGACACCCGTACTGGCCCTACTGCCTGTTCCACCCGCACGGCGCCTCTTCTTCTCTTCTTGCCCCAAGAACCGGTCCTTTTGAGTGATGATGTGAGGACGTGATGGATCACCAATGAACATCTCACCACCACTGGAGGCTCTCGCGGGATCTCGGGGTTCCCAGCTCTGTCTCTGGTGCCCCATGCCAGCAGGGCCAAACAATCCTTTTGGGCCATCTTGTTTCAGGCGCCATGTTCCCCCGGCTTTTGGGGGGTTCAGCGCCGCAGGTGGCTCGGCGCCAGGGTCTTTGGGGGCAGTCGGTACACGGCGCAGTACCGTCCCCACGGTCCAAGCCACGACGGAGAGGTATGTGGTAAGCATGAAGGGGCCTGCCATGGGCGGTGCGGGCCCCTTGAGTCGCATAGGGATCGGTTGAACATGCGCAAGGGATCGGGTACTCGATATGCGCAAGCCGTCTGACTGAGTGGTTCAATATGTTTTTTCCTTGGGGAGATCAACTCAGTCTTGACTGAGGGGTACATCCCCAAAAAAGAGACCTGTTCCGCAGTGCACACCTGATATGTATATATATATATACCATGTCCGGAAGGGTACTGGCTTCTTGGGTTCCGCTGTCCAAGGAAGATCCAACGACCGGCATGGGACGACACTGCACATCAAGACACGGCCAACTCTGATGCTTGGTGAAGTAGCTTCAGTAGCTTCCTCTCAAAATCCCCAATCAACAACAACAAGACGATTGATTCCATTAAAAAAGGAGCCCACATGTGCTTTGCTTCAATGTGTTTCAATCAAATAAAGCCTCTACTTGGAGGTTACTGTACCCACTGTAACCAGGGTAGATGACAGTAAGCCCGATTAGAGGAACTGAATATGTGCTCAACCAACCTACAATGGTCAAGGAGTGGACTTCACCAAGAACTGCTCAGTCCCCGATGCGGGTTTCACTACATTGGTAGCCCTGTTCAATAGATCTCTCACTTAGGCCCCATTCCACTTCACTCTGCCTGAGACCAGGAAGGCCTTTGGGAAGTCCTGACATTCTGGACAAGGATGGGAGTACCAAATTGGATTGGGCAAGGTGTAGGAGAAGGGGCAGCTCTGTCAGTGCCTGGATCTGCCTGGATTGTGGTTCACAGTCGTTTGGATGAAGAGATCTGCCTTGTCTTCGATCCTCCGAAACGATCGGTCCGTAGCACCAAAGCACCTAGAGCCTAGAGCTGAGAATTGTTAAGCGAAGAGTTCTCCTTTGAGCCAGTCTTCAGGAAGGATCGTCCGTAAAATACAAATGTATATATGATATAGAACTTTGGGATGGTGTAGGAATTCTTCCGATACCATCACGCAAGCTCCAACCTAGACCCTCTCTGGAGCCTAGTGAAAATGGTAAAACACGAAAGGACATGCAAAATTGCATTGAGCACCTCAGTTCACGGAGGGGAGCGCCCGCTCCCATGTTGGATTTCTTTCATCGAGGGATCGCAAGACTTCGTGATTTTCTTGCCACACATCGGCTACCATCATCGCTGTGCACACGAGTTGTACCCCCCTTGGCCCCTTTCCATGAAAACCACAATCCCTGGTCTTTTCGCAAGACTTCGTATCAGCTCTCCCTTTGGGCTCGTCTCTGGTCGCTTCAGTGGCCGACCCATCCGACCCCGGAAACCGATGAGGCCATCGTCCGTCCTTGGGCTCGGCCATGGTGTCCATGAGTTCGAAGTACATCCATTGGCCACTGAAGCTATAGACCACCTCAACGAGCCATAACGAATTCGGTATACCTCTCTATACATATATATATATATAGAGAGAGAGAGAGACAGAGAGAGATTGTGTGTGTGTGCTTGTGTGTGCTTTTCGGTGGATCAGGAGAGGACTGGCCCATGATGGTTGTTGTTTGTCGAAAATATTTCGAGAATCCGGAGAAAATTCAAATGTCCAAGGCTCAATCAATTGGGTCCGGCGGTCATCATTGGGGGGACCCAACACATTTTTCCAAGGAGACCCAAATGATCCCAGAAGTGGTTGGGTAGGGAAAGCGACGTTGGCAACTACTGGAATGGGTTTGAGGATGAACATCATGGTGTCCCGTAGATGTGTGTTTTAACAGGAAGAATGTGAGGAAAAGATGTTCGCCACTCGATCCAGCGACCGGTGGAAGAACCTCGATCCAGCCACCGGAGGAGCCAAGAGACCCGGAACCAGCGAGGTCCCGTGGGAAGACAAGCGCACGGATGTTGGTCGGATGGGGCGGACGGTGGTCTGTGTAGGAAAAAACCGCCAGTGGTTGGAACAGACATGTGTTCTGTAGCTTCAGCAAATGAGAGCGAACTAGACTCCTAGTTGATGAGCATCGCAAGAAACTACCCTGAAAAACATGTTCAAAGTGGGACGATCAGGTCCATTGCCCTTGAGTCTTGTATGAAGATTGATCCACATTCTTCTGGAACTCTCCAGCATCCAATCCACTCAATCCCGAATCCCCCTCCTGAAATCACACTCCTCTCACCCTGGAAGCCACCCGCCGCCCTCGCCCATCGTTGTAACACCCAGAAAGAAAAAGAACCTTCTCCTTCCTTCTGCTGAACTATACTTAGTCAAGGCATGTCAAGGCACCAGCTAGGTGTCTTTTCATTTGTCGGTCTCATATAACGTGGATGTCCCCCACAAGTCTTTCAGCACGGTTTTGCTCCAACAAGACACGTTGGTGGCGGCCCCCAAGCACGTGAGAAGGCTCACGCCTCACAGCGACATTCGGACCCATCGGATGACTCGCACATGTCTTGGAATGGGCCCTCGAACGGGGAATCGGGCAAGGGCGAGCCAAGGGGACTCGCCTTCCAACATCGCCAGAGGGGAATTGGGCCCCCTCTCACTCGATGGAGAGGTCCGCAGAGTCGGCTCAATGGCCCACATTTTGGGGGGGTAAAAGCAAGTCCTCCACCACAGAGCAATTGGACCAAAGTGCCAACTACAAGTCTGATAGTTGCGGCCCCCTTGTGACCTCTGCCATCTTAAGCACTCCAAACAAACCCGGCCATGTGCAAACATCCAAGGTCCGAGAAACTCTCTACTGGTGCAGGTTCTTTGTTGCCAACAAAGGCAGCAAAGCCTGTCGAAGATGTGCCGTCCTCCGCCCTAGCCGACCCTTCACTGCGGCTCGATCGCCTGGTTCAAACCAGTAGGTGTGCTTGCCTCAGCACAAATCAATCCGCCGAATCCAGGGCACCAATTTTGGGGGATGCGTGGTTTATTGTTGCCATGACCCAATTGAGTTGGATGAAGCTGGATGTGTACCACAATAAGTTGGCGCGCCGCCAGTCGGGGAGCCCATTGGGTTTCCAGCCCTTTGAGGAGAATTGTCAGAATGGCCGGGGACAATGGATGGATCAGTTTGTGATGTAGAGGAGAGGCATATGCAATTGCGGTGATGGTTTGAATTATGTCATTGAAAACATCTGTTGTGTCTGGTATTGCCACCTGTCGAAATGGCTGTCTGTTTCTTTTTAGTCCTCCCAACTAACTTGCATGCGGCCAAACTAGTGTCACGATCAAGAAAGAATGTGCAGCAATCTCTACCATGGTGCAAACAACGTCTGCGATAACTTCTAGAGATGGTGTGTGTGTGTGTGTGTCTGCATCCCCTTGTCCAAGGGATGTCCAATGAGATTTGTGCAGCAAATCCCTCACACGTGCCGCACATCTCTTTCACATCGTCTGCAAGGCTCGTCGGATAAATCGGGGTACCAAGTCTCGTCGGTCCAAAATCATCCGCTCATCGGGTACCGTCGGACTCTGGGGAACATGACCCGGTGAACATCTGCTCCGGTGTGACTATTTGAGGTGGTTTTTCCATGTTTTCGGTCCGCCATGTCATGGGGAACCCGCAGGGTCGCGTGTTGCCCATCCACCATCACGTGTCAGGTGGCAGTCCGGGCGATTGTAGCCCAAGCGGACCAAGGCAATCACCTCCATCGCCGGGGATCGAAGAAAGACCACACCAGATCGATGGGGAACGTCGTGAGGTTTTGTGAAGCAACCTTCAATCTTGAACCACGTCGTGAGGTTCCACCAAACATGTTGTTTGTTTCACCACCTATAGTTCTTTGTATACCACCTATAGCTTTTTATGGTGTTTGGAAGACATGTATATAGTTCTTTCAATGTCTTCCACCAAACATGTTGTTTGTTTGTTTGGTCCGCTATGGCTATACCTATATATTTTGATGGGTGGTGGTGCGAGACCTGCATCTGGCTGAAGTGGTGTTCATGTCTTTCAGGGCACGCAAGGCGAGGTCTCTATCAAGAACATGGCCATTATGTGAAAGAGATCACCAACTCAGCCAATGCCAACAGGAGCTGATGAGGCCGACTGAGGTCCCTGCAATGACCGCCAGGATCAACATGGAGTTGAAAAAGCAGAGCGCGACCTGACAGCGTGGGACTCAGCATCTCCCAATGGACCTCTTCAGGAGGGGAGTCAGGGGAGTGCCTCAAACGCAAGGGAGTGCCTCAAGGGAAGGGGTGGCTCCGACAAACACCACCTGTTTGGGATTATGTTGGAGTTCATGTCGGTCGACGGCTGTTGTAGTCTTAAGTCTTAAAGGTTTCATGCTGACGAAGTCAACAAGTAACGCAAATATATATATATATATAGAGATCACTTGTGTGATCATCCTACATCATCCTCCTTTCGCGAACGCAAAAGAAAGTGAACACTGAAGAATGGACGCCTTGCACCCCTTCACAGGCCCTTGAAATCTTCATCATGAGGCCCAGTTAGTTCGGGCTTCGCATCCTTGCTTTGAGGCGTGAATAGGTTCACTGCACATATGATTTCTGTGGGACCTCATAGGCCTGAGTCTGAGTCCCCTTGGCAGAAGGGTCATGATTTAAACCGCTGCAACATGAGCAAAGGAAACCTCAGTTCAACACTGGTTTCGCAAAAGCTTGTCAAACCTAGGTGATCTATTTCTGGACTCGATGTTAGTGCACTCAGAGGGTTACCACCTTGTGAATGACGCATGAAAGACATTTTTCACGCCAAGGTGCAGAATCTCTAAGCCTGCACGCATCGGCATGCGCTTCTTTCGATCGGTCCATGGGCTTTGAAATCGGTCTCTGAGGTTTCCCCAAGCAACAGGGATAGAAGCTCATCGAAAAGCAGGAAGCTTTAATTCAGTCGTTTTGCTCTTGGGGGCATTGCGCTTCTTCCTTTGTTTTTTGGGGCTAAAACCTCAATGGTGGCATGCCTTTTCATGGGATTGGTCACAAGGCCATCTTCCGGGTGAAGGAACGCAGGAACGCACAGCAAGGCCACCATTCGGTTCGCAGAAGGTGTTGCGCACTCCTGTTGGACGGAGATTTGTTCCTCGTGATGAGGTCGGCTGGTCAGCAGTGGATCTTTAGGGGTACTCGGGTACTTCTATGAAAGCGAAGTGCTGATTTCAGGTTGAACGTTGGAAGGTTGGAGACCTTTTGGGCAGATTGAGCCAAATCTAGGGGTAAGTTGTGACAGAGCTCTGACTTGTTCGAAAACATGCATGCCTCTGGCATGCATAAGCTATGAAGATTGGGACCTGCACTTGGAAAACTTTGAGGGATGAAGAAGACCTCCTTTCTTTGCCTCCCGCGGTCCTCCCCCCGGCCCCACACCGCGCACCGCGGTAAGCGCCGCACTTTGCTCGCGGCCCATCCTGCGAAGGCCGAAGGTGGGCACCAGCAGCGCCGCGATGGAGAGCAGCACCGCCACGGGCAGGCAGAGCGAGGTGGAATAAAAGACCTGCCTCGGTGGATGCTGAGAAAAGAAAGAGGTGCTTCAACCCTAAGCTAGACAGACCAAGTGCCTTTAGGAAGAGCCCTTCAACCAAGTCTTTCGGGAAAAAGGCGGAGATCGAGAAAAAACCCACCGGAAAAGACCCGTACTCCGTACCATGCGATCCTCGAGGCCCCCAGTGACAACGTACATGCGGATGCCAACCAACTGGGTTGTTGATGTTGTTGGTCAGATTTGGGTTGGCAACCTCCCTCAAAAAGAGCCCCCGTGAAAACGGGGTCCGGGCTTGAAGAGCGTGGGGCCCGGATCCTTTTTGGGGTGACCTGCACGTGGTCGAGACGCTTCCTGCCACCAAAGTGTCTGCAACGTGTTTCCGAGCACCAGCCTCGGCAGATTGATCTGGCATGCTCCTGTCTGGTCCCAGCCTGGTCCCAGTCTGATCCAACGGTAGATTTGACAGGTCTGACCTTGCAATGTGGGACCAACGAGTCTTGCGGACAAACAGAAGCAAATGCACATTGGGATCTCAAGAGGCCATTGTCGATTGTCTTAGAACAAAGTGAGATATACCAGGATACCAACGAATTAGAGGCCACGACTATTCCAGTCTCTTGCGACATCATGTCACGGTGTCACAACGTAGTCGCTAGCCACGTCCTGTGGTCGCTAGCCGAGGCGCATATAGGACGCTTGCCCCAGCAAGGTGTAGCCATACACCACCAAGGTAACCTTGCTTTCATGGAGAGTTGCAAGCAAAACATTCACGAATCTCACGGGTGGACTTACTTTCACCTGCCAATGGGCATGTGCCAGGGTGTGCAGAGCGCCAGGTGTCATAGCATCACGCGCACGGCATAAACAGGCGTCTCATGAGGCAACAGTAGTGAAAACAGGCGTCTTGCGTCTTGTCCATGAGTTGCGAGATAGATCGAGATGGTAACCAGGCTTGCAGGGCAACCCACATCATTTTGGTTTCTATTCTCTACTCCAAGCCAAGTGTAGACCAGCCACAATCCGACCCACATGGGCTGACCGGAAAGTTGCGCCAGCAACCTGATGGAGCGTGTCTCTGAGCTTCAATCAATCACGCTCGTGACTGTAACATATCACTAGTGACTAAGCGAACGGGTATTGCAGTACTTGCTCAACATGCTAGCACTGCTCATGAATTCAAGAACAAGACTCTGGGTCTGCCACAGAAAGAAGAAGAACGAGAACGAGAACGTGTAGACATCGGCACGGTTTTCGAGCTATGGTCCAATAGCTTTATGCAAGTGCTCTATACATGGCGCATAGATACGATCCCAGGTGGCCACGTGATCTGGACACCTGGCTGTACATACGATCCCAAGCTGTCCCACCTGGCCCATGGTTCCTAAGGGTTCCGTCACGCCCAAGCTGTCGGTGAGGATCCTCCGTGTCCTCCCACCAGGAGAGAAAACAGCACCAAGAGAAACCCCAATTGCTAGGACATCTGCTCCCAGAAAAACCGGCACGCAGGAAAAGGGGACCCTAAACCCTAAACCCCATGAGGATCGGACTGTTTCTTGCATTCCGATCGATCCTCTGGACTCAGACGTTCAGTGACGTTCAGTGACTTTCCAGCACCCGCACCGGAGCATCGAACAGTGGGGCATCCGTGTTTGATCGGGGCCTCCCAGTGGTTCCTTTCACGTTCACGTGCCATCGGGCCATCGTTTCGCAGCAGTTGAAACCGGCGGTTTCTGAACGTCCGAAATCGGTGGAGAAACCATCAACCCCAAACAGTCTGATGAGAAGCTTCGAGTCTTTCTGGGGTGGAAGGAAGATGGCAGGTCTTATCACAGGTTTGGAGTAGCTGGTGGGATCCAAACACTGTTTCCTTTGGCCCAGCCTTTGCTGACAGCATTGAGTCAACATCTGGCGAGTGCCCGCAGATCGATCTTCCGTCAGTTGCGCCGGGACGGTAGGCCGGCCAAATCCCAGTGCCCAGTGCCCCACCGGTTGGTCCGGTGCACGATCCCAGAAGGGGCCCTTAGGTCGTGGGCCCTGACAGGGGTTCTTGTCTTAAGAGATTTCAATGAATTCCCGACTTTCCGCGCACCCGCCCGGCGGGTCCTGCTCATCAGAACAGAGGTGTACAAGGCCACGGGAAACAAACCGCAAATGAAGGCCACAGTGAGGACAAAGCCCAATCGCGCCTCAGCTGACCCTTTCGGTACAAACCCTTCGTCGTGGAAACGAGTCTTTCAAGAGAATGGCAATGTTCAAAGTCAGAAATAAGACTTGGCTCATCAGAATGAAAACTCTGCCCGTCATCGCCGGCTCTGCCAACACGATGTCGCTCCGTCCGCCACCCTCATCGGCCAACGCGCGAGGATCGGCTCGGCGCCCCGGCGGCCACACCGTTCAAGGTGAGCACCGAGGTCCCGACGACGTCCGAAAGCCTGGACGTGGAGGCCGACCGAACCGGTCAAAGCGGCGAGGTCGCAGTGGATGGTGCCGAGGCGCATGATCCAGGAGAGATCAAACCAGGACAAGCCCTCCTGGCGTGAGTTCGACTCTGACACCTCTTCAGGTGTCTCAATCCCTTGGATTTTTGGGCCATGTGTGTTTTCGTGTGTCTGAAAGAAATCCAACAACGCCAAACAAACAACGCTCAAAATGAAAGGTTGAAGGATCCGATGATCTCAAATGGGGTGCGACTTTGTAAAAAAATAATAAAAGACCTCGCCTCAGGCACAATGTCGGCTTGCTGTTCCGTCATCGACTTGGTGTTCCATCGTCGTCGACCTTGCGCTGGGAACTGCATCTGTTCCCTAAGAGTCGCGGCCGGACCGGCCGCAACAGGCTTGATCCAGCTGCAGGGATCCGGAAATGGCGAAGCATGGCCCTCACACACCCCGAAAAGCTTGGGCACATCCCTGTTGTTCGCGTTCGATGAAAACGGCCAGGCTTTTTTGCTAGCACCTGAAGGGTGGGAAAAGCAGCAGGCAAGCTGATCAAAGCACCAATCAATCCCCAAGACCCCGTGACTCGTCATCAAGCGTGGAAGTTGGTTCCCCAGTCGTTCAAGCCTTTGGGTCTCCCAGGTTTTTGTTGATACATATACTGCAATATATAGATACTATGCTATACTATACTATAGATTATAAGATTCGATATATATATATATATTTTTTTTGTAACCATAAAAATACTATTAGACAATATTATATGCTACGATTTCGTGTATATATATATATATTCTCTAATATGTTGTATTATCCATAAGCTATCTGTTCCCAAAAGCAGAATGCAGTTGGGTTTCAATCTCTGGTTGGGACAAGTGCACAGTTTGTCTACGGCGCGCAGATTAGAGCGGGGCCCAAATCCAACACACTTTGTCAAGATTCTTGTGCCAGCAGGCATTTTTCCACAGGAAAAATGTGGTCTGCAATTTGCCCATCCGGTTTGTTGCAATTGACAGGTGATGCAGCTGGCAACAAAGGAATAAGTAATTGAGACACGCCAAAATGCGTTCAGCTTTTTCTGCCGCATAGCCCATCCGTTGGAGGATGATTCAAAGCCTCCAAATGTTGAAAGGTCATTCTTTGCCGCAATCCTCAAGCTCTGCATGCTGCGGCCCTCAGCTTGGCATTCACCTGGACCGCTGAAGCAAACAATACAGTGAACACCTCCTTGACTTTTGTCAAACAAAAGAATATGTCCAAAACAAGAAGCCCCTGGCAAAACCTAACCTTCCTAAGACTCCTGCTGCCATTCCGCCTCCTGCTTCTCCTGCAGCCTCTCTGGCCTGTTTGCCCAACGCATAGCTTAGCTCATCATCCTGATGTCGCACGAGGGATAGACGTGTATGTGCGCGCGCGCGCACACACATACCTACACACTCAAGATATTGCGTACTGAACTGATCACTCCCAAGCCCCGAAGAAGCCTAAGTGAAAAAATTGCCTGGGTAAAACAGGTAGTATGTAATGCGGCTGGCCATCTTAGCGACACCATAGCTCCAAAGCTCCAAAATTAAGGACACCGAAGTTCTAAAGTACAGGCACAAGTCTCAAAGTCAAAGATGCGTGAGTGCAGTGCTGGAACGGATGCAACGGCTGGTCAGTTTGTTCTAGTTACAAACGGGACCCAGGAGGAAGTGAAAAGTCAAAACTGTGCAGGCTGTGCAGGTACAGGAATGTGCGTCCACATTCCCTTCCGGCTGAATCCCATACCTTCGTTGGCATGGCTAGGGACACAGCTGCCATGCACCCTGCTAAATGAGTTGGAAGTAAATCAAAAATCAACCGATTCCCTGTGATTCCAAGGGTTTCACAAACACACATATCTACCTCTATTTCATCACGCCCAACATTTGTTCACAGGACCTCATGCCCCTCGAAATATTGACTAAGGATCCACTTGCGGAAGCCAACTTCCAGAATTTTCTCCCTGTCTTCCTATCCCCCAAGTGCCATCTAACATTTCAAATGGTAAAGCTTTTGTTACCATTGAATCCAAAATAGAATGA